TCATTATAAAGATGTTAAACTGACTTTTAAATTAAGTTTCTATATTTTTTAATAAAAAGTTTTGGTCAATAGATTATATCATAGTATTGGGCAATTGTTTTGACTTTTAGGATGCTTTGTGAAATAGTTTGTTGTTGTTTCATATGTAATAGGATGCCTCCAGTGGAAACTGGGGACTTAAACTAGGTAATGAAGTAATTGGTTACTGGCCCAAAGAGCTATTTACAGAGTTAAACAACGGAGCTTCTCGGGTGAGATATGGAGGAAATACATATATATGTCCACCGATGCAATTAGTCCTCCAAATCCAATGGGAAATGGGCATTTCCCAGTTCAAGATTTTTCAAAGACAGCACATTTTAAAAATGTCTTGATTATAGACTCCAACTACATCAATCTTTTGTATACAAGAAAAAAAAAAAGAAGTAAAACACTATACATTTGTATGCGAAGAGGATAAGAGTTATTTAAAGAGCTAATTTTAAGGCTCGACTTCGAACTCCTAAGTAAGATTTTGACAAACATATAAAGAAACTCAGTAATTCACATCAGATATATGAAATTGTTGGAAGGAAAAATTAATAGCACCTTTTATTTTTAGTATGATAAACAAAAATTATAGTTCATTTCTAACATATATGCTTGTTTTCTTAATATGACCAAACTCTTTGCCAATAAAACTTACAAGTTTCTCACCATCGTTTTGTTATTTTAGCATTCTACAACCACCGTGGCAAGACCGACGTTATTTACGGTTGATGAATTATACAACTTAGACCATGTGCAATGGGGAATTCTTAAGGGGAGTTCTTAGAAAAATATTAATTTTATAATCACCGGGTCCCATGAATAGTTAAGGATTTTATCCTAAAAATCTTTATGTAAGGATCAATCCTTAAACTATTCATGGGCTCCACTGCACACGTGGCGGTCCGTGAATGGTTAGTTTACTTTTTTTTAAAGAAAAAATCTGAAATATCCTTATATAATCTGAAATACCCTTTTTATTTTTTTCCTAAGAACTCCCCTAAGGATTCCCCATTGCACATGCTCTTAGCCGTATCGTTTTAGTAACTCTGCAACATATTGGAATATGTTATATTTTTCTATTTGAATAAATACGGTGATAGACTGATAGAATATATGGTGGAGATGATTATGAACCGCTAGTATTAAATATGGTGATTATGAGCAGCAACTGATTCTCGAGTCGTCGAAGAATATGATCTTGATGCTTCATAACACAGCGTCGTTGTTTGTTCCTCCCATATCTGTTTAAAACAAAATAATAAAAGAACTGAAACTGGGATCTCTTTATCAATTGAGAGATTCAACTGAATAAAAAATCTAATGAAAAAATATTATTGGAAGAGTTACTTTAGAAGTGATTAAAAAGAAGATCCCAATCGTTCTCAACTGAAGGTTAATAAGGCATCACATGGACGATAAATCTCACAATGGTACGAATCATAATGTATTATGTCTCGCTAACAGCTTTCTAAGTTCTTGATGAAACAAAATGATTATATGAACGGATTTCTGTGTAAACCCTTTGGCATAGTCTCCACTGATTGAAATTATTACGTTTTGACCGAAGGAAGAATACATAAGGGCATAAGTAAATTGATTACTAGTGATGTGTAAAATTAAAAATGATTTGTAAACCTAAAATGTTTTGATTGGCTTTTATTTTATTTTTTTATCATGGCAACTCTAGAGGTGGTTTGATCCGATTCATTATTCGTTCGATTCAAAAAAATTAAGATATCCGTAAAGTTTTGAATCAAAGTAAATATAAAAATGTGATATCCGTAGACAACAAAAAAAATCACAAATATTAATTTTTAGAAAGAAATATATCTGATCTTATCTGTATCATATTTATATATACTTTGGTTAATTTTTTATTTAAGTTGTTTTCAAATTAGTTTTTGGGTTATTGCATATCCAGTTTATTTTTAATATTGAGTTAACATACACATTTTCTAATTTTTCAGCTTTTAATACTGAATTTTTAGGTTTTGCTTTACAATTTACGTTAAAAATGTTTGTTTGTTAGTATGCTACTATTATTTGTAGTTTATTATGATATTGTTAAGGTTTTTGATTATTTTTTCTTGTAATTATTTTAATTTTTAATTATTTTAATATAATTAACGAATAATATTGAATAATTCGAGAATATTTGAAAAAACTCTAGATATCTAGACTTCTGGATATCTGAAATTTTATGGATCTAAATAAATTATAAATTCGTTTGAGACGGAACGGATCACATATATTTTTTTTCTGAATATCTGTTCCGTGCCAAGGTCTATCCACAAAGATTTGTTGACATACCCCACAATGATTTAAAAAGGCTATGTGTTAATCTTTGGAAAGTCTCTCATTATTGTGTTGATTTGGTAACTAAAGATATTGACCAAAAAATACATATCAACTTTTGGTATGATATCGTTGCAGTGTTTGAATGTTGACCTCAGTCGGCTTATATATACACTGAAAAGTAAAGTAGATATAATTTGAGAGATATAAGGAGAATTTAGCAATGGCATTACGTCTTGCTTTATGTCTATGTGTTTATCTGTTGTTTACTCAAGGTGTAGAAGGAAGTATTGATGTGAGAGTCCAACGTCTCTTTGTTTGTTCTATCCTCAATTCCATTTTTAATTCTAGAACTTCTCTTTGCAGGAATTTGATTGTGTTGAGATATACAAACAACCGGCTTTCCAACATCCATTGTTGAAAAATCACAAGATTCAGGTGGGTTAGTAAATTATGCATGGTACATATATGTAAAATACAAAACTTGTTACAGTTAAAGATAGAATATCAAAGTTTTACTATTCAGATCTAAGAGTCTGGATCCCCCTTCATACACAAACTTTCAAAATCTATTTAGAAGATACTTTGATTTATAGAACTTTGAGAAACATCAAATGTTAAGAATCTTATTTTTCTTATGCTTTTTTTTTTGCGATACTATATGTAGGAAACATTCAGCTCATATGAGGATCTTGAAAGAAGCGACAACTATGAAAAGAAAGAGCAATGTCCAAAGGGAACGGTTCCAATCTCAAGACAACGAAATAGATCCGAGAGCTTTCATTTGAACACACCCGAGCATTTGGGTCAACATGTATATGTTCACTTCTTAATCGCTTTTGTAAAGAGTTACACAAGTCTCATTTAAGTTTTTTTTGTTCCTTCTAACAAATTCACATTTAGTTGTTAAGACAGTGTGATAATATATTTATTATATGACTAACATATGTTTTTTCTTACAGTTTGCAACAATTCAGACCAGTATGTTAGATGGAAGTATCTATCGTGGAGCTGAGGCTGAAATAAGTGTTCATTCTTTAAATTTGCAAGAAAACCAATGTAGTAAAAGTCAAATCTGGTTAGAGAATGGATATTCAGGCCAACTCAATAGTATACAAGCTGGTTGGGCGGTAAGTAAACTTATTATTTTTATATTTCACAAAATTATTGTAATAAATATGTTTATAGGAAACAAATATACTTTCGAGATTTCCATTCATATCTAATTATATATGTTTACTTTTTAGGTGCATCCAAGATTGTATGGTGACAGTGTGACCCGGTTTACTATATATTGGACTGTGAGTAAATTATAGTTGTTGCTACATGAATAATAATTAGCCTACTTGGAATTAAAATAAAACGACTCTGACTGGATATGTCTTTAGACTCTTTACTATTTTATTCACGTACCAATTTCCAATTTAGGGAGATGGCTATGGTAAAACTGGGTGCTACAACACCCAGTGTCCTGGTTTTGTTGTTTTAAGTCGAAATCCCAAAATTGGAAATCACTTTTCGGGATCATCTGTCTATGGAAAAACAAGCATTTATTTTAGAATGCAAATATTTCAGGTCAGTTTCTCTTCGTTCCTTATAAGGATGTCAAACATACTTTTAAATTAAGTTTTTATAAATAATTTCGGGCGAATAGATTATATCATACTATTGTACAATTGTTTTGACTTTTGTGATGCGTTTTGAAAGTTTGTTGTTGTTTCATATGTAATAGGATCGCTCGAGTGGAAACTGGGGACTTAAACTAGATAATGAAGTAATTGGTTACTGGCCCAAGGAACTGTTTAAAGAGTTAAACAAAGGAGCTTCTCTAGTGAGATATGGAGGAAATACATTTATGTCCACTGCTGAAATAAGCCCTCCGATGGGAAATGCGTATTTTCCAGTTGCAGATTTTCTAAAGACGGCACATTTTAAAAATGTCTTGATTGTAGACTCAAACTACAAAAGAGTTAATGTTGAAGAAAAAAAGCTAAGACTTTATGCTGATATCTTTCAATGTTTTAGGGTTACATATTGGGGTTATAGCAAAGCTAATGGAGTGTCTTTCTCTTTTGGAGGACCAGGTGGTAGATGTGGTTATTGATGAATTCTAAATATATATGTATGTAACAACCAAACTATATCAACTTTTAAAAATAAAAATAATAAAATTCATCTAAAATATTTTTGCTTTCCTAATGAAAGTTTGTTTAATCACTAACCATTGAACATTATTAGTAAGGGAAATTAGGCCAAATGACCATACGAAAAACTATATTTCATTAACTAACTAAACATTCTCTCTCCTCTATTCTCTTCCTATCTCTCTCTAATTTCTTACTACAAATCTATTTTTTTTGCCAGTTCACAAATAAACCCTATTTATTAGTAACCAAATTAAAGGGAAATTAGGCTCACTATTTTTTTTTTTAAAAGCAAAATTAACTAACTAACAAAAAAATCCATTCTCTCAGCTCCTTTCTCTTCCTATCTCTCTCTTCCTCTCTCTCTCTACAAAACTAATTATTATTATTTTTTGGTTATTTCACAAAATCAACAAAACAAAACAATCATAAAAACGAATATGTTTGTCTTATTCAAATGAGCCTTATATATAGAGATCATAAGGCCCATTAACAAAAGCTTCAGGCCCATCCCCTGTCCTTAAACCCTAATCTCCACCATCACTGAGAAGTCACCGGTTCTCAATGGCGAAACTCCTCTCCCGCTCCTCCACCGCCTCGCGCGTCGCAAACCGTTTCTTTTCCACCTCCACCAGACCCGCCGCTCCTTCTCACTCTAACCTCATCTCCCGCAGATCCTCACCGACGCTGTTCCATTTCATGGGATTCATCCCTGATTCGACCCGTTTGACGACGATCCGGACCCGGATGGATAGGTCCGGTGGATCGTATTCGCCGCTTAAATCCGGATCCAATTTCAGCGACAGAGCACCTACGGAGATGGCGCCGCTATTCCCCGGCTGCGACTATGAGCATTGGCTCATCGTTATGGAGAAGCCTGGCGGTGAAAACGCGAGTAGACAGCAAATGATTGATTGTTATGTTCAGACACTTGCCAAAATTGTCGGAAGGTCAGATTTTTTGCTTCTGCCCCCATCTTTCTTACTATCCTTGTTTCGTTATGAATTGACGACAAGTAACTAACGAAGTGTGAGTTTTGGTTTGGTTTAATAGTGAGGAAGAAGCTAAGAGGAAGATCTATAATGTTTCGTGCGAGAGGTACTTTGGTTTTGGTTGTGAGATCGATGAAGAGACATCAAACAAACTGGAAGGTGTGTGTCTCAATTTTCCGACACAAAAACTATGATGTGAGATTGAAATTGATGTGTCTTTGGTTCTTTGTGTATTGCTAGGATTACCTGGTGTTCTCTTCGTGCTTCCGGATTCTTATGTTGATCCTGAGTACAAAGATTACGGAGGTAACTTCATCAAAAGATCATTTCTTTCATGTTTAAACTAAAGGATGCATTATTTAGGTGTATATATGATTTTTTTGGTGAATGTTTTTTTGAAATTGCAGCTGAGTTGTTTGTGAACGGGGAAGTGGTTCAGCGTCCACCAGAGAGACAGAGGAAGATAATGGAGTTAACGACTCAACGAAGCTCTGATAAGCCGAGGTACAATGACAGAACCAGAAATGTCCGACGGAGAGATAACATGCGTTAAGACCTTTAGTGCTCCAGAGTCTATTGTGTTAAAACATCTCCTTTGCCTTTGAACTTGGATCGTATTTGTCTTTCTTGGTTAATGATATGAATAATGTAAATTGTGATCATGATGATGATGATGATTCTGTTTGGTCGCGTGAAGCTTTACTTTATCATATCTCTTATTGATTTTAACGGCATTTCATTATCACTAGCTACATAGTCTTTGGAAGAACGAATAATTAATTTTGTAATGATTTTTTCAAAGTGAAAATACAGAGATAACTTGCTTTTAAAATACCCAAAAATCATATAAACTGACTTTTGTCCAGAGTGTGTTTACAAGATAAAAATACAATAAATTGTATGAAAAACAAAAGAAAAGAAGAAATCACCATCATCCCAAGGTTCTCAAGTAAATCATTTACCTTTTACCCATAAGAACCTCAAAAACAGAAAGAACAAAATCCCTATAAAAATAACACTTTTTTTTGGCGTTCTACATCTATTTTACTGTAAGCTCTGAAGATTGAGCTTCTTAGAAAAACATGATGCCATTTACCTAAAACTCAATAAACCGGATAAAAGCCTGAAGAAAGAGAGAGAGCACCTAGAAACCACCCCATCTTGGACTAAGGATTGGGAAGAACCCTGATGGGGATGGTGGGAACATAAGCCCTGGAGATGGAGGTGGCTGAGAAGGACCTGGACCAGCACCCGGTCCGCCACTTCCTGATTGAGCTACTTGTGAAAACGAAAAGTTTGGGGTTAGTGGTTGAGGATACTGGACTCCTGGTGACAGCAATGGGTAAGGTGATCTAGGAGAGAACATGTTCGGGTAACCAGTAGGAGATGGTTGAAAAAACTGAGACGTAGGTGAGGGTAGTGATCCAAAACCGTTATACCGAGGTGAAGGAAAGCCACCATTGAACTGAGGAGAAGGAAAGCCACCATACATCTGACTGTACCTTGGAGAGGGAGGAGTGGGCGTGCCAGGTACAGGACCATTGAACTGAGGGAAAGGATGATTAGGAGGCACTGGGCTAGGAATTAACCCAAGTGGTGGTTGATATTGACTATGTTGCTGGGTTCCAGACATCATATGTGGCTGAGTTTGAGGCGGAGGCTGAGACTGAGCTGGAACATAAGACGGAGGTTGAGGCTGAGCTGGCATATAAGGCTGAGGTTGATGCTGAGCTGGCATATAAGGACGATATTCATGACCTGGCTGCACATGATTACCACTAGGACCTGCAGCTCCAGGTGAACTTTGAAGATAACGCATAAACTCTGAGATGGGAGACACAGCTGTATTAGACCAAGACTGATCCCCATGACCCACCATTGGTTGTTGTTGTTGTTGAGGCGGTTGGACGAAGCTGTGAGACATGCTAGGGTGAGGAAGCGAAGGACGGTTGATCTCAGTTAAAGGAGCAGGTCTAACCCTCTGCAACCTAGTATTCTGAGGCCTTGTTAAGTTGTTGTTCTGAGGAGGAGGCCGAGGAAGACTGTCACGTGATGGAGAGCCAGTTAACTGCTGAACAACACTTCTAAAGTCGTTCTTGCTAACGCTATAAATCTGAGGCTGCGGCGCTTGAGGCCTTGCAGAAGCCGAGGGATTAGCATTTGCAGCGAAGTTGGGTTGGTGGATAGGACTCTTTCTGATATTTCTCCCATTCTTATTCACACCCAAATGATCACTTTGTCGAGGCCTATCCATCTCCACTCTTAAAACCTCACTACCAAACCTTTTCGCCACTAATCCTCTGTCTATCTATTGTGTAGATCCTCAGCTCTTGAGCTACTCTATCGTCTTAAATCAAAAGCATACGAGTCTATGTTCATAAACTGGATCAGAAACTAAAGCATAAGAGTTCTAAGAACTAAAATTCTGATACGATCAAATGCTCTGTTGAAGAGAGGAAGTGAAGATGGAGCAAAAATAAAGTAGAGGTCTTTCACCTTAGTATTCGGATCAGAGTAGACACACGAGAGTTCGGAGCCTGGTTTCAATCAGATCTTAAGAGCAGAGAGGGAGAGAAGGAGAATTCAAATGAACCCTAAATTTGTGTCAACGAAGAAGAAATGGGAATCCGAAGAAATGAGATTGAAATTTTAGATTTTTTTTTGGTTTTCCCTTCGGTTGTGTCTTATTTATTTTGGATTTGTGTTTTGTCTTAAGTGACATGGAGCTGACGTGTCCAGATTGTCTCGAAGTTTTTTTTTTAATTGGTTTTTAACGGAAAAAAAGTCAAACCGGAAAAATCAAATGTAGAAAGGTGGTTTTATACTCAAATATATATTTGTTTTATGAATTAATATTCGCTTCCTATTTAAGAAGAAATATTATGAGGAAACCATATCAACTTTTCCACTTACGGGACTTTTTATTTTCAAAAATATTATTCCATTTTGGTCAGAAAAATTATTAATATTTTTATTTGTAGGGTCTGACTTACAATAATATATGATGCATTTGCCAAAATAAAAAGTGTAGTGCACTCTTGTATTAGTTGCAATGGAAACTGACGTTTTGTTTGATTAAATCAATGATTTGGCGAGATAAATAGAAATTATTTAAAATAATAATGAGACAAAAAACAGCTTTACACTTTCTTTTGATGATAACAAACTTTATTTCGCCGAACAAGTATTTATGGCTGAACAAAATATTTGTAAATTTAAATTAATTCAATATGATTTCAATCCAAAAATCTGAATATTAGTAACTCAACTAAATAAAACGAATTTTCATATTCAATATCTATAAGAAACGAAGTAAATCAAAAATATTAATATTTTTAGAGATGTATTCGTTATATGTATAAATTATATACACAACTTATCTAAATATTATATTTTATATAAGTTCTAAAATATTTTTATTGATTAAATTTTATTATATTAATTATTGTTTTTCTTAAAAATAAAATTTCTATTATTGTAAATGGTTTTAGATTTTGTTTTTTATTTTATTGTGCAGATCGAAATATATATATCTGGTTAAAAATTTAAATTGTCTCTAACATCTGGGACACTAAATACCGAAATTGCTATCGATCGAATCAAATCGGATAATTGATTATTTAGACGAACTCGATCGGATCACATATAATTTCAAAAATAGAGGTATACCATCTCTGCCCACTCCTAGTATTTAGTAGAAACACAAGATTAGCAGTATATTTTCTAACCTTTTCAATCCCCTATATATTAATTGAGGAACATTTGAAAAGATGTAACCTCAATTTTGTATTAATTAAAAGAGGCCCCAATGCATAGGTGTCATTCAATTAGGTAGTCAATTAGATTCAATTGAAAAAATAAGTAAGTCCATATTGGATTTTTATAGGTTGCTAGATACATTAGTTAGTCAAACTATATGATATAATGATATAATATGCTATTTTCTTTCCATAAATAAAACCTACGGAATTACCATAAATGACTAATATATATATGACACTTAATGATTGTTCCCTAAGATATAATTACTATTTTATTTTATTTCCATAAATAAAACCTACGGAATTACCATAAATGACTAATATATATATATGACACTTAATGATTCTAATAATAAATATTAGATTAGAGTTTATATATCCTCCATCATTTTTATTTAATTTTATATTATTAAAATAAATTAAACAATCAAATTAGCTATAAAATTAAACTTTAGATTTTTTCGTATAGGTTATATTTTGAATTTTAAGAAACGAGAATAAATAACTAAACTGTTAAAATTATTATGTTAAAAATTAATGATCAATAGTTTAACATTTTATTATAAAAAGCTATACATGATTTTAAAACCATATAAGTAAAAAGTATCATTCAATAATAAAACAAATATATATATATATATATATACAGATTAAACTATATACCATATAAGATTACATAAATATTTTAATTTCAAAATTTTCAATAAATTTTCAAGAACATTTATAAATTATAAACTTATTAAATTTTTCACATTGAATTTTTTTGTTATCAATGATTTAAATATCTTAGTTCCTTTTTAATTTTATATTTTTAAAAGATATTAACAATCGATAATATGGTTATTTTTGGTATATACCATACAAACCGAATGGATGTGATTTTATAAAAACCATAGGATTTGGATATGGTTTGATTTATAATCGANGTGACAATATGACTCTAAATATGATCATATTATATATTTTTATAATATATAATATGATCTCAAACTAAATAATTATGTTTTTTGGTATAAAATTGAATAAACTGAAAACCGATGGTATATAAACCAAATCAAACTGAAGTACATATAGATTTAGAATAGTAGTTATATTTTAATGATCGAAATACCAAAAAATCGAGCCGAACCGAAACCCGATATACGGATTGAACACCTCTAATCTGAATGAAACCGAACTATTGTTTCATTTTTAAAAACATAATAAAATAATAGCTTCATCCCGCGCAAGACGCGGGTCTTATCCTAGTTTGAATAGTAAACACCAACATGATGAATGCAACAGAAAAAAGAAAAAGAAGTGGGGTGAGAGAGGCTCGAACTCTCGACCTCAGGATCACTCAGTAGCTATGAGACCTACGCGCTAGCCAACTGCGCCACCACCCCAATCGATGCTTTCTCTGTAAGCATTTGAAATATATAGTTGTTGTTTCTGAGTGGCAATGTCTTCTGCAAAATGAACATCTATTGGTATTGAAACTTTGGGGGCAAAAAGCTTGTCTGTTTTAGTTTTTAGATTTTCATTTAGCCTTTATATATGGTGTTTGAGGATGAAGCTAAACGTATACCATAAGTCTTATAGAAACATATGTTTATTATTTACCGTGCGAGTGTTTGCGCTACAACTTCTACATACTTTTGAGCATGGATGGGAACAAATTTCTCAAAAAAAAAAAAAACATTAATTTCTAAAACCTTACGTTTTGCAGATTGTCCTTATAATTTGAAAGGAACACAACAAATTAACAACAACAATAACATTAATTAGAAGAAACGTAGGAAAAGATGTCTGTCTTATTCCTTTATTGTCTCTACAATTCTTATCTGATCACTTTGATTCTTTAGATCCTCAAAGCTCCAATCCCTTCTAATCCCACTGCTTCTGACCAGCTTCGGCTCGTCAAGATCCCCATAGACAATGGTCCCCGCGCTATGTAGCCTGCGATGTCCTGTTTTGACCCGTCTCACGGCGGGCAAAGTTGGTATTTTCCTTCCCACCTTTTTATACCCTGAAGTTACAAAGTTTTCAGTAATGTTTGAATCTATGTCCGAGTTTGATCTTTGCAGGATGTGGCATGCAAGGCAGTTCAGGCTCATATTTTTGTTTCTCACTGAAATCGAATCGACGATGAGGTGTGTTATCTTCTGGTTTTTGATTTGATTTTATGTTGACAAGAAAAGGGAAAGTCCCAAATGAAACCTTTTTGGGGATGCTCTTTCTAGGCGTTTAGTTTCTTGGTTGACAAGAGATATATTCCTTTGTTTTTTGTAAATGAAAATAGATGATAGAAACAAATTTCACCCTTTTTGATTTGCTTATTTTTAGTGTTTAATCGTTTGGTGACAAAAAAAAGGAGTTTTATGGGGTAGATGCTTTATATGGTGATTCTATTTTTATCATACAGCGTAAAAGTTGACCCTAGATTTTCTATTTTGTGAACAAAAGCTTCCTACAATCACTATGCAAACGACACATAAGCATGTTTTGTTTGTTTGTTCTTAAATAACTGTGTTTATTTGTTGAAAACATTTAAAACGATCAAGACTTCTCATTTTATGTTAGAGATTTGTTCCACTTTTTCCTTTGCAAAGCTAACAAGATTTTAATTGCGTTATGAGTTATGAGTTATTCCTTCTTAAATAATGAAATGTTAAATGTTTCATATCATATCATATCATATTTCGAAATATCTTTATGGATCTTCATTCGTTCACGTTGAAAATCTTCTTATTCACTACGTGCATACTGTTCAAATAATTTAACAAATATTGTCTACTAGTTAACAGTATTCTAACATTTTAAGTTTATAAATCTTCATTTTGAATAAGTTTTACAAACTCAAACTCACTGATCAATACCTCAATCATAGCAAAATGATGACATCAAGCTTTCTTTCGAATATTATCAACCTTTTAGCCACACTCTAAGCCTAAAAGTGACTTGAGCTGTGGTAAAGTCTGATACATATAAGAAAACAAAACGTCAAACACGTTGAGTTTCATCAATCTCATAAGACTTTTGATCATGTACGTACCATATATTTTTATTTAGTGACAATTTTACAAAACACAATCTCATTTGTACAATATTTTCAGTAAAACAAAACAAAACATAGTTTACGGTATAATTTCCCCCTAGTACAAGAATAGAATCAAATGACTTAGAAATGGAAAAGGGTATAAGAACAAGAAAATGAATGTGCATTGGGTTAGGTCTTAAGAAAAAAACAGAAACCTCTCAGACCCATAAGCTGGAAGCAACAGAGCTGAGCTTCTTCTTTGTCTCCTCTGCCATATTCTTCAACGACGACATGTCTTGCTGAGCCTGACACAACATAAACAATATGGTTTCACACTGACAAATACAAGCCTAAACAATAAATTAATCGAGAAGTGAGGCTAGACCTGGAGAGAGAGGCGGTTGATAAGATCACCAGCGGAGAGATCCAGAGGATAATCTCCATCATCATCTCCAAACAGATCAGCACTAGAGATTGCTGATGAACCCTGTTTTCAAAAGTGAGATTTGGTACAATTAGTACTAATGAGTGTTTAGTTAAGGCAAATGAGGTTAATAAAAAGGACACGTACATGGAAATTCTTTAATGTACTTTTAGCCTCAAGGTCCATGGAGTTATTCTCATTACCAAAATACTGAGCAGAGGAAATTGATTTCGCGTTAGAGAACTTCTTCCTGGCTTCATCTGTCTCTTGAATCTGTAGTATAAATAAGCTAGAGAAGGTGAGTAACAAACAGTTTAACTCAGACTAATGATAACATAAGAGGGAAGAAGAAGGAGTCTTGTACTCTTGAGGAGCTTGTGATTGGTTTCTTTTGAAACCCGCCTCCGTTCATCTCAAACTCCTCAAAGAAGCCTGTTGATCTTGGTGGAGCTACATGACCAAACACTTGTGGGCCGTTGCTCGTGTATAGTTCTCTTGTTTGAACACCGTCCGTGTAATCAAAACGAGAGGAAAACGATGACCTAGCTGATTTAGCCGATGGTGAACTGTTATCTGAATAAGTCGCTGATATAACAACAACAGATTCCTCTGGCTTTTGATCATAAAGCGTCTCGCTCGACTGCAATTTTCCCAAAATAAAAGAATTATGTAAGTTATCAAAATGTTAGAGATATATTGGGCCGTAAGATATGTAACTTACGGCCCAAGAATGTGAAATCCGTGAAACCCGTAAAAACCCTGAAGACTAAAAGGAAAGATTTGAAAAGCAAGTTAATCTATGGAGTGTGAAGCACGTTACTGACCTTAGTAGTTAGCTTCCGGGCACCAAGTCCACCTGTTTTGCCTGTCTTTTTCGCGCCAAGAGGTTTCTTAACGGACCGAGAGACTCTCGGTGAGACAGGAACCTTAGTATTATTATTATTATTACTCTCTTTAGGAGGTTCACTAGTTTTGATGGTTGAGAGCCCATTGGGCACTTGCGTTGTCGTTGAATCAGGAGATGGAGGCAACTCAACTTCCTCTGCGTTGCTTTTGGCAACTTCTCTGGCAAGAGTCTGTTTATAAAACTCAGCAGCTCTGGAGGTATACTTAGCGTCGGCTTTACCTTCTCCGCTCCAACCATGCTGCTTGAAGAAGACATGTGCCCTGCTGTTTCCTCCGTACACCATCATCTTCAACTGCTCAGGGCTCCATGAGTCTAGATTTGTAGACCTAAAGAATGACCACGATCAACATTTTAATACAACTCTAGAATATTTTTAAAGAAAACATGACACACAGCCTAAGGACATAGATTCAAATGAATGACCTGACGAAGCTGATGTGGACGCCGAGGCTGCGATGAACAGCAGAGCAATCGATGCATAAGAAGATCCCATAAGTAACGGACGCCCATGTTGGGCTCTTCGCATTGCAATCGAAACAAATCTGCAAAGATAAGTTACGGTCCTTACAGAATTAATATTAGGGCATCATTATCGCCAAAGTTTCTTTAACTCTTTTGTTTTTTTTTTGTTTTTGTTTCGTCGGAAAGACCAATTGTGGACCACCACGTGTCGTGGGATCCACGAAACATGGTAAAAAACGCACAGAAATGTTTTTTAATCTGGGGACTTTTGTTATGGATTTTATCAAATTTGTAAATCTCCATCGCTAAGAAACTTGTTAAAAGTTAAAACCGAGCAATAATCTTGCTCTTACATGGTGTGGTTTTGGACGGGAAATACAGATTCAGAAATTAAAAAAAAAATAAAACATCCAACAATTTTATAATTATGTTGTTACCTTATTATCAGATTTGGATTTGAGCTTCTTGAAGACAGCAACCTTATCATTCAGATTCTCTGACGCCATTGTAAGGAGGAAACTATATATATTCTCCAGAAAAAAATGTTCTGGAGATTTGGAAACTTTTTGAATTCAATGAGAAGAGGAAAAAAGTGATTTTTATTTTATTTTTGTTTTGGAGATTTGCGCAAGAAATCGAGGGGTTTATAAATAGAGAAAATTGCGTATCATCCCACCCGCAAGTTTGGTACTGTGAATTGACTATAATAACCTTTAAACACATCTCGCGCGCGTTTTGATTTATAGGATTCGTAACGATAACGAGAGGTAGTTAAAACTCAACGAGCCATTTTTGCAGTTACCCACATTTATGAGAGGTAGCTAATTAATTTAAATTAACCCTTTTGCATATTTTGTTTTTAGTAAAACCATGAGAACCTTAAACTCATAATCTTTTTTAATACAAATGGAATCAGCTTCTGAAAATTTGATTTAAAAATAACACTCATAAAAAATAATTGATTCAGGTACCAACTATGAACTACTACGCCACCGTTACTTTGGTGAGAGATTTGTTCCTTAAGGTGATAATAGTTATTTGATCAAAAAACGGGTGATAATAATTAAACAAATTATTGGTTGTCGATAGATTGACTAGCTAACAACTTTAAAGAAGAGAGAATTATATGCCAGCAACAGCAACGAGACTTACTCACCTGCTTTCATTATGTATTTTTTAACGTATCGGAATCTGTTAAGGTTTTATATTATTGTCTTTTGTTATCCATATTTTGGATATATATTGACAAAACCAAAAATTTGAAAAAACACAAAATTTCATCCCGATTTATATAATCTGAACATATAAAGTAACTAACAGCTTTAGTTATTTGTATTAGCGCTTGCAATATCGAATGGAGTTAGCAATAGGTAAAAGGAGTTGTAATGGCTGATTCAAATACATAGCCACACATTGCATTGCATACTCGTAACAGACTTTAGATGGATCCATAAACGGACTGTAATGGCTGATTCCTAGCAAGTTTCAGGTGGACAAGAGTTAGCAATAGGTAAAAGGTGAACACAAACAGGAAGCAGAGCACGACCTTCTAGCTAATATCTAGTTCAAGCAGCTTGGTGCCTTGCTCCTTGTGTGTTGTATTATTGTATATTTCTTTTTTTTAAACTCGGCATCTTTGCTCTCTTGGCTCTTGCAAGGAACAAAATACACTTTTCACAGATGCAAATAATGGGAGTCATGTAGTTGCACAAGTTATTCGAATATGAAACAACTGAGTTTCAACATTCAAACATAAACCAGTAAAAAGAGAGGAACGAGTAAATTATTACCAGAACATGAAACAGAGACGACATTTTAAAACATACATATGATATGACACAGAAAGAGTCATCGTTATACACGCACATGAACAAAAAATGTTTTTTTTTGAATCTGGGACAAAAACAAAAGGGAATTTGATTTCTGTGACATCTCAAATGCGCAGGCAGCAGCCAAGTGGCATGGGAACAAAAACTGGTTAAGTGAGGCGGTTTCATCTACAGAAACATGGACTTAGGGGGAAGGACCAAGAACGTACCAACCAGTTGAATGCGTATGAAATGAGAATCATTTTCTTCAGTAATGGTTCCAGAGTAAACGTCTGTTCATGGCTGGTGGAGCTAGGCCCGGTATGTCCGCGATGTCTTTGTTGTTTGGGTTCACAATCTATCCAAAAGACCATGAAAAATGTAAAGATGAAATCTCTAACACTCAAAACAAGTACGCAAGTGTGTGGCTATGTATTTGAAGAAGAAAGGAGTGGAGAGGTTTACCTTGACGATGATGATTGCTATGACACCAATGACAATAAGGAAAAGAAAAGCCATTATACATTTGTCTGTGGCAACCTGAGAGAATAAGAAGAAGAGCAGAAAGTAAGTAAAAAAGGGATAAGAGGAAGCTGCTGATAAATATGAATTGTATAAAAGAAGAAATAAGAAGATTTTGGGGGACTGACCTGCCTACCAATTTCCTTGACCAGCTTGGAGGCCTTCTTGAGTGAGAAATGAATAGAATCAAGTTCATTGACAACTCTACTCATTTGGTCGGTCTGAAAACAGTGAATATTGTAAACTATCCTTAGTTCTCATAACAAGGAAGGTTGTAAAGAACAACCGAGATTCATAAAGAATCACTGATTGTTCGTAGGAACAAAGATGTGTGACCTAACTACAAACCTGAGCCTTGAGAGCTGCTGAGGTATCTGTGCCCACATTTATAGTCTCTTGAACAATCTGTTGTCAAAGCCACAATAAGAAAAAAAACAGTGAGATATTCCTTCTATGAAAATGAACAGAAGTTATCAGATGGCATAGGTCCATGTAAAGGTAGTGACCTTTTTCCCTCTTTCAATGGCTTGATCAGTGTCATCCATCATGGAGTTCCCTTTATTCACTAGTTCTTGATTGGTCATATCTGAAAATGATTAAGCTCCCATTAAATACACTAGATTAGGTGTAGGATTCATATAACAAATTACTAGATTTCAAAAACAGATGTGGAATGAAAGAAAGATGGAGTTAAAAAAGGGCGTACTTGAAGCTAATAAGACATTCTCTTCCATGTGGTCTTCAGCAGGACCATCGAAAAGATCTACTCGCTTGTTGTTGCTTGCTAGATTGGATGAGTATCTGTACAATCAATCATCCCTCATTCTCATCAAAATCACCACAAACATAACAAAAATATGTAATTGTAGGCATTATAATTCTTGAACATTAACACGTACTTCTTCTTAAGAGCAACATATGAATTTAATTCCTTAACCTGCACAAACACAACATCACTTGTCAATTACAAAACTCTTGAACTCAGATGAAAGTGAATGTAAAAAAAGGCGTACTACACACCATAGATTGTCGTCGATCATTCAACATCCGGTTAGTGCTGGCATCATTACCATTTTCCAAGCTTTTGACTTCTCTATCGAAATCTTTAATAAGGCTCTTGCAGTCACGCATTTTGTCAGTGAGTTCTTCCAGCTGTCTACTCTGCCTGCTAGCATCTTTGATCTTCTCCAGCTTCTGGAATCCATTTCTGTTCCCCCAAAAAAAAGACACAAACTTTACGGACAAGAACAAGAAGGAAAAACACAACAACAGATCAAGAAATGAAAAAAAGAGATTTCTCACGATAAAGCGCGGAAAATGTCATTGATTTGTCCTTCGATCTCAGCAAGCTCCTCGCTAACCGCAGATAGATCCATCTCTTATTACCTCTTCTTCTTCTTCTTCTTCAGATCCAACACCAAACAATTTTTTTTATTTCTAAAATGTCGACAACGAATCGACCCGCCCTGATTAGATCCGGAATGCAGAAAACAGAAAGACGATCTAACTTTGCTCTTGAACACAACAATCTAATCTTAATTGCAAAACTTCACAAAAACGAAACACGCAAAATTTTACAGATCTACGACCAATGTGGATGTCCGAAATCGATAAGAAATTAAAATTTAAAACCGATTATCTTTCGGACATTTTTTATAATTGTTAATTTTTTTATTTGGGTGAGTTTCTTGCCTCTTTTGCTGCCAATTTGATTTGGCTCCAAGGGAAGGGAAGACACGAGAGAGACACACAGAGATTTGAAAAATGACAAGTAGTGGGACCCGCCACGACGCCGTTTATCAGTAGAGAATGAACTCATATTTATCGTCCGATTGGTCACCTCTCCAGATCTAACGGTCAATACTCTCTCATAGTATTATTATTTGATTATTTTTTTACTTTAAAACGAAGATAAAATATTATCCTTTGTAATAAATCTCCCTAACATAAATCCAGTTTAAACATTAGCAAAATATTATCATCCTATATGAACCGATTCTTAACTACCTATTCTTTAATGTTTTGACTTGGCACGGACGGCTCTATAGAGTGAAGGAAAGGAAGAAAAGCTCAGATGCAGAAGGATCGATAGTAAAGGACTAAAAATGTGGATCAAAGATTCCTCAGTATAAAGAAGATTCTCTAAGATATTAAAATCATACCACACCGCATGAAACTGTTTCTTTTTGTGGTTCTTTTCTTGTTCAGAAATGGGATTACTTCACTGTTTGAGAAGGAGATATAGGCACGAAGCAAAACGTACGATATACATTCGAGCCGGTCTTGATCCAAACCAGATAAAATATTGGTCTTCAGTCCCCAATTTTTTTTAAAAAAGTTAAATATATATATATATATATATATATACAGGCTTCAAAAAAAATAACTTTTAGGCTTTTAAATCCGTAAAAAATTAGTTAAAATCGTTAAGAAATAGTCTTAACCCCCTAAATCATTATATGCCATATTTTCTAAAAGTCACCCACCGTACATTCCTTAAATATCAAATAACACACTTTATTTTTATTTTAAACTTTACTTTATTTCCAGTGTTAACCGGGATGTATGGAGGAAGAGCCGATCACTTGAGGAAAGTTACCAAGAATATTTTAATAGGAGCCCCATTTATGGGCCATTGAAAAAATGTATATATCCCTCAAATTCTAAGTCGATTGAAACCCTAGAATCAGAGCCTTTATTTATCTTACATCTTCTTTAGTTCATTATTCAGCAGCTTTCAAAGAGACTGTTCTCAAAACCATAACAACATTCCTTAACCATGCCCCCTCCAGCTCTGACAGACTTAGAGATGATCACGCATCTACAAGACATGATCCAGCACCAGTTGACAACCGTTGTGCAAGCTCTCGCCCAGCCACAAGAAAAATCCGACAATAATGAAGAAAACAATCCTTTGTCAGTGCATGACGTGAACTCTGACGACGTCATTGAACTTCTTCCTGAATTTTCTGGCGAACAATCGGCCGAGGAACTTCTAGATTGGCTCGTCACGGTCGAAGAGACTCTTGAGTTCAAACGTGTGTCATTGGAGCGATGCGTTCCCATGATTGCCATGCGGTTCCGTGGCTCAGCAGCAGCTTGGTGGTCGCAACAAAAATCCACACGTGCACGTGAGGGGAAACCTAGAATCTTGTCGTGGGATAAGTTGAAGAAAAAGATGCGTAAGGCGTTTTTACCATTCAACTACGACCAAGTCATGTTTCAACGCTTTCACGGTTTGCAACAAGAAGGGAGATCAGTGGAAGAATACTCCACCGAGTTTATTTCGCTTTTGAGGCGTGTTAACGTGCAGTATACGCACCAGCAAATCGTAGGGTTTTTCGTTGGTGGCTTGCGGCAAGAGGGGATGAAAGACAGTCTTAGCTTGTTGAACCCTCTCACGCTTGCTGAAGCACATCAAAAGGCACTCATCGTGGAAGCTCAGCTTGAGAAGGAGAAGCATGACAAATTCTACTCGTGTTTAGGGCTTTTGAGTCTTTTTCTTCTCTCGTTGGCAAGCTTAGGAGGATTTCGTTGAGATTTGAGATGGTGTTTTACTTTTTTTTTTTTTTTTTTTTTTTT